ACTTGGTCATGATAGAGGGCCTGGGTGAGAGAGTGAGTTAGATGCAACGCAATTCTGTGACCGAGCCCCACCACCACCCTGCTGTGGTGCACACGGCAGGCCTCGTCGAAACCGACGGTTGGGCCGTCCTAGTAGAATAAGACTCCTTTTGTACTCTGAGTAGGAGCTTCATCCTTCTAGATTGCGGTATCTATCCAACTAATAGGAGCGAAGAAAGGAGTTTCAGGAAGTATTCGGGAAGCAAGACAAAGTCGCTCGACTAAGAGGTTTTTTAGGCTAAAGTTTCGGATTCCCGCTGGAATCCATCGCCAGAACAATAGTCAGGACCAATTATAAAATACATGTAGTGGCCTAGCAACACCTGGACAATCCCACACTACTATCTGGCTATGTCTTTGATGAGAATCTGAAATATCAGGCTAATAAAGCTCTTGTTCCAGCGATCGTTTCTTTTTCTTCTCGCGTACCCATCCAATGCTGATGGAAATATCCTTCACGATGTTGATAATGTGCGTGCTTGAGTGTCAGACAGGCTACTCACTGAGTTTTCTGACTAACAAAAGCATAAAAGGTTGACAGTTCAGAAGAAGACGCAGACGCGATCGTTAGGACAAGAACTTTATTCGCCTGAATCCTTCTCGAATCCATCATCGGAGAAAGTATCAGATACGAGTAATTCGCACACAGGGCGTTGTAGTAATTATGCCACTGCATTCCTGTGATAACTATTGGGTTCCCCCCTTATCGAGGAAGATTGTCGGGATGAACTTTATCCGAACTTTTGCGTAACATTGTACAAGCGCGCTGTGCGCTGGTAGGATACTTTGTGTAAGCCTTTTTTGAGTATTAAACCGTTGTGGAATGGTTGTTATTCTTTTATTTCTTGTATTTAGAAATTCTGACGATTAATATTCTGTAGAGTTTCCTTTCCTGCATTGTATCTTATCTGATTAAGTAAAACTCAAATATTGGTGTGCATCAAATGCAACCTAAAAACCAATTACAATATTTCGGAGATCTCATTATTTACTTATCACTGGTTTTATTAAGGACGCATTTACTTAGGGGTTAGGGCTCGGATTAGGGTAAGGGTTAGTGTTAAGGTTTAGGCTAAGGGTTGAGGGTTAAAGTTTAGGGTTAGGGTTAGTGTCATGGGTTAGGGCTAGGGTTTGTTATATGGGTTAGGGTTAGTTTTTGGGGTGAGAATTTTGGGTTTTGTAATAGGTTTACGGGTTGCATTCACTGCACTCTAATGTTCTCATGCAGATTTGATCCAATTATTTTATAAGAAACAATAGGTAATCCCATTAATTTTTACTTATAGTCTTCCCGAATATGCCGATTACAACAATTTACCGGTTTTCGCAAGTGTTCACATAAAAAAAACATTAAAAACAAGGTAGCCATTCAACGCACGGTATGCTTTACGCATCAAGGTGACATATAGGCCTTCTCAGGATTGTCTGCTTGTGCACTAGTTGGTCGGTGGCCGTCGTGCGGATCGTGACCTGTTGACATTTCGTCACTTGTGCTGCGATTTTGGTGTAATGATTATTCGGTCATGCGGCTAAACGGGACTGGCGTTGGAGGATGTGTTTGCCTGTGCGCTTCCCCAGGGGCTAACTGTCTTGGACATACTGAGTTGGCGGCAGTCCATGAAGGTAGCCAGTGGTCCAATGTTTTCTCTACATGAAATTTCTGTGTCCTATCCATAGCCTTGTCGCTGAAGTAAATGTTCTCTAAAAGGACAGTCGGTAATTACTGCTCTCAAAATAACTGTTCCATGTCTGTTTGCGGCTTAAGACGGAGTTTCTATGATCCAGTTATGAAAAACTCGGTGTTATTCAAGCCCCAACAATAAGGGCAAGACTTTGATACAGCAGCCGACGCTCTAACCACCAGAGCTACGAGGCCCCGCCGGGAGCCATCAGTTAATCACACCCGGCTCAAGTTATCCGCCCAGCCTACTGCAATGTATGGAATCCACCAAGTCCGATGCACTAAGTTGACTGTCCTAAACAGCCAGTCTAGCATTAACCCTATGACTATCTGAATTACGCTTGACAGACATTAACAAATACTCTCTGTGTGTGATAGTTTTAACAAGCATCTTGCTAAGTGACTAGTGTCGAACGAGCAGAATTACCTCCTTGCTTACTTGTGTGGAATTCTTAGGTTCGCCCTGTATACTTTAGTTACAGTTCCATCATTACCGGTTCGCCGCAGAGCAGGAAGTACCTGCTAACTACTCAAGCAGCAGTCCTTCTGCTACCAAGTTCCGTGTTGGTCTTAACTTGGTGACGGGAAGAACTTACCTCGGCATATTTTGTAGTGAAACCGACATAGACAAGGGACACCGGATTGCCCATTTCTGGCTTTTTAGCCGTTATCGGCCAGTCATACCCAATCCCAGGAGAATTTTCTGTAACCAGATCGACGAGAGCCCTTCTTTCATTACCTCCATATCTTTATCACGTGGCGCGATAAAGAAAAGTGTCAACATTTCTCAACGGCAGTTTAGGTGTTTGTTTACGCATTGCACTTCGCAGTGCGGCAAGACTGTCAGCGGACTTGATTACGCTATGCAAAGTCGCAAGATACCATCGGCTGAATCATCTGCTAGTTTCTTGAAGGCAATGTAGTTTTCCATGCCTGACGTCAGTGGAGTCCTTTGTGGAAACTACCCTTTCACAGCTGAATGCACACAAGCATTTAATCGTGACATCTGTCACCTCGATTTCAGGAATGATTGGTTGTAGTCTAAAATTGTCAGCTTTTTATCTAAGTGAACACTTTTAAGTCATATCCACTGTCGAAAAGGGGCTTTTTACGCCTCGAATAAATGCGGTCAGTAAACATCAGCCCATGTAATTTCTAAGCATTTAAATGTCTGGCAAGACTTTCTACGTTACCAGTTTTATGTCGATTGGCGCGGTGCCTATCA